GCTCCCTTCTAAAAAACCCTCCATAATGACCTTCATATCCCATTTGTTCTTGAAAATTTTTCCAAATTTCACCAGAACCTCACTCATCATCCAAATTATGTAGTACAATTCCTATCTAGCTCCAGCCATCCCTAAAATCCTCCCTAGACCTTAAAACGGCAGTGGTGACTTTTTGTAAGTATGTATATATTGGGGTACTGGCAATGGCCAGATTCTCCACTCAAAACCTGAGCGTCTGTTGCTCTAGTGCTCTCTATCAGGCTCCACTGGCTTCCAATACCAGTGACGCGGCTGGGAGAGAAGCACTGGGATCTCCTGGAGGCCTGCTTTGGCTTCCACATTTGGGAGACAAAGCAAGACTCAGAGTCTCCTGGGTGAATGTAAATATTGTATATAGGTGTGAATGTGTCTTATCTATTTTAATTTAATTTAGTTTCTTTCTATTATTTCATGTTTTTGTACAAATGCATATTAATTTTCTTCTTTTATTTTCTATATTTCTTTGTCTTTATTATCTCTATTTTAGTTATTATTTGTATGTACATATTGTGTGAATGATTAGTGTAGCCCTAATATTAATGCCCTCCAATGTGGCAGAATGTATTAATTGAAAATTAATGTCACAGTACAGACAAAACCTAACTTTGTTATTCAACTTTAAATAGCAGAAAAATGGCAGGTATTAGTTAAATAAAACTCTGCCATCATATTTTTTTTGTTCTTCTGATACAAATAAAAAACATTAAATTTAAGACTAACATTTTTATGTAAAATTATTTCATACTAGAGTGCTAAATTGAAAGGAGCTAGCCACCAAGGTGAGTAGTGTCAAGGAAATACACAAGGATTAACAGTTGGCAGAATTGGATGGCAGTCACTGCTGTGGGCAGTACCAGCAAAATAGTACGAGAGAGACAAACGATCAGCAAACACTACAAAGCATTGTAGCATTTAAAGTTCATTTTTGTTTCTTTTTTCCAGCCTTTAGAGGGTTTTTTTATGTGTGCATGAACAGCTATGCAATCTTAATGAATGACTTCTCCTTTGGTTTTTATAAATCTTTCTCAGCTCCTTAGAATGTTCAATTAGTCTAAAGTGTCTGAAATTTATATAAAGTTGGTCACAATATTAAATCAAGGACTTTCTATTTCTATGTTATTAACTAAAATAAAAACCAAAAACAAAAATTTTTTACTGGGCTTATTATTAAATTGCATTACTTAAGATATGAAATTACAGAGGGAGGCAATCTATTGCAACTGTTCGTGCTCAGCATGCAGCTGCTTCTAAACTATTTGGACCAATTACTCAAAAAGACTTAGCATTAACCCAATTTGGATTTGTTGGAATAGCAGTTATGTGTGGAAAACAATTAGGACTTCCTCCTGATCAGAATGGTCTTATACACTTTTGGCGAGTGATTGGCCATCTAATGGGGATTCAAGAAAGGTACTTTTGATTTGTTAAGAAGTACATTTATTATTATCAAACCAAGCAATGGATATTTATATACATTTTTCTTAGCCTATTAAAGAATTATGTATCACTCTCAGCTTTATTGAATTTATCATGAAACATTTTATAAGAAAAGTATAATTTCACTGCATAGTATATTGCTTGTTGTTATAAGTTGTTGTAATAATGAACATTATAGTACTATACAAGATTGCATTTAATTAACACATTACTTATATTTTATAAAGTAGGTGGTACTAATTTAATTTTTAGCTTAAATACTTTATAAAATTCAGTAAGATTTATCTGGTTGTTTAGATTTAATTTATGCCGTGGAAATATGCGTTGTACTGCTGCTGCTTGTGAAGAAATGGCAAAACGATACTTCGTTCTTAATTTGGACAACCCACCAGAATACTTTGAACAAATGTCAAAATCATTACTTCAAGGAATGTGGCCCCTTGTTGTGTTTTTTCATCCTTTAGCTTTTAAAGAACACACTAGACGTCTTTGTGGCTGTCCACCAAAATCTTTACCAATTTTTCCTTTATTATTTCTTTATATTCAAATTTTGGTGCATAAAATGTTGCAAATACAAGTTTTATCATTTTTTTTGTTACCTTTCCTTAACTTCCAGGTGTGGTTTACCATATTTGTCCAGAATACAATGCCCATTATTGCTTTCTTTTATTTTCATTATTCATTAAGTGATCAATGATTGTTTATTTGTTGAATGATTCATATGTGATTATGTAAATAAAATTACTGTTAAATACCTAGTTAATCTTTTTAAAACCACATTTAAACTTTCCTTTTTTGAATAATTTATTCTACTCATTTTACTATTTTTTCCAGTTTCTTTATCTTTTAATAGAAAATATGTGTGATTACTAGTCAAATTAAAACTGGATTATTTCTTAATAAATTTTGATTTTTATTATTCATATCTACATTATAAAACAGGTGTTTCAAAACAATGGAAAATACCTCAGGTTGTGCACACCTTATTTATCAATTTAAAATCAGCCTATTTTACTGAGCTGCAGGAGTGCCCATCTCCCCAAGGCCGATGGTGCACGAACTTACCCTCCTCCCAAGATATTTTACTGCTCCCCTCTTCTTAAAAACAGTGCAAGCTAAGCTACACTAAATAAAAAATCACAGGTCACATACAATTATACTTCCAGTGGTCTGTTATGTGCTTTCCTCTTGTCCCTAGTTTGAAACTTTTCATTTCGAAAATTCAAAACTCCGTCAAAATGTGCCCCCTTGCAGCTTGTGCCATGTAATCCCATTCTGGGAACCCTTGCTGAGCTGGAAGTTCCTGTGGAATTTGCGAGATTGACATAGGCATATATTTGTATACTGCGCTATGTTATCTTTATTTATAATTTAATAAAAGTTTAGAAATATAACTCCTAGTGTTAAGGCTATAAAAGTGATTAATGGTCAACAAAGTTAAGCAACGATGAGATAGGAAGAGTAAGAAATACTTTGAGAATTTTTTTTTTTTTTGTATTTATTTTATTTTATTTTTTATATAATACAACATGTCATACAGATAAGTTACAAGTTTATCGTTGTAGTAACCTTACACTTGACATAACAGTGGTTTGAATACTACTTAGAAAATTGAAATTAATTTTTTACAGTAGGAAAAATCTCATAAAAACCTACATAAGATATAAATGAAAAAAAATTATGTTACAATCATTAAAAGTGCAAGAAAACTAAATATAATTTATGTGCAAAAAGAAAATACATATATATACATATACACACATACATATATTTACATATCTACACATATATATATATCCACACACACACACATACACATACTTACTCACACAACACACACACACACATATATATAGATACACACACACACACATATAAATACAATTTGTTGATTGGGGTGATTGAGTTTATTGTTACTTGTTTGGTGATTGATAAGAAACCGTTAAATTTTCACAAATAAACTGATTGAATTAGACGTGTAGTAGTATGTGTTTAGTCCGTCTGTGTGTATACGGTTTCAAAGATGTTTTATCATAGTTTCCTATTGTTCGGATAATAGGGTTTTCAGACGTTGGTGTTAGCTCAAAAAATCTCTGTGTTTTAAAATAAATATATTTTTTTATTGTGGGAAGCTGTAATTCTGCTAGCATAATAGATACTTTGGTATAACGTGGATAATTGTTTATGATTCTCATACACATATTTTGAATTACTTCGAGTTTTTTGTAATTTGTCTCACATGTGTAACTCCATACTGGGGCAGAATAAGTGATTAAAGGGCGGATTACTGTTTTATATAAAATTAGTTTATTTTTTGTATTCAGTTGTGAATATCTATTAAAATATGGTGACATTTTGCTGATCATGTTTTTTGCTTTATTGCACTTGTTGTTGATATGTTGAGTAAAATTTAGGGATCTATCAAGTTCTAGGCCTAAATATTTCACGGAACTGGACCAAGGAATCTGTACTTCTTTTATGTGTATATTGTGGTTTATGCGTGGTCTTCTTTTTGTAAAAATAATTGCTTCAGTCTTTTTATGATTTATTTTTATTTTCCATTTTTCAAAATACTTGCAGAGTTTTATGAATTGAGATTGTAACCTGTTAGTTATAGTATCGGTTCTAAAAGAAGAGGTGTAAATAGCTGTATCATCTGCATATAAGGAGTATTCTATTGAAGGAATGGAAGGGAGGTCTGAGATGTATAGGCTGAGTAGTGTAGGAGAAAGACAGGAGCCTTGAGGGAGACCTGCAGATAGGAAGTGGATTGAGGAATGGTCATTCTTTATTGTAATGCAAAAGGATCTATTGTTGAAATATGAGTGAAGGAGGTGGATTATGTAAGGTGGGAATTTATATAAAATGAGTTTATGGATAATACCCTCATGCCATACAGTGTCAAAAGCTTTTTCTATGTCTAGGAGGAGCATACCGACGTGCTTCTTTTCATTGAACGCTTTGGTAATATAGTCGGTCAGTCTGGCTAGTTGGGCTACTGTTGAGACTTTGAGAAGATTGTCCACATGATGGTTAAGAATTACATAAACAGCATGTCTACCAATCAGTGATGGGCAAAACTGTTTATCATGCGTAGCAGTTGCAACAGTTTCTGTTACTTTCAAAAAAACAGTTTCAAAAAACAGATATAACTGTTACGTAACAGTGAGTAAAAAAAATAAATATTGTACTCTGTTACCTTTACACTATTTTAAAAAGATATCAATATAATGTTTATCTCCAAAGTAATTATTAAATTAATCCTGTATCATAACACATTTTAAAGATAATAAGTAAATTTATTGATGAAAATAATGAGTGATAAATTAGTAATTTTTTCTCCGTCTCCACTGAGCAACCGACAAGTTTGTTGCGGAAACAATTTTTCCAAATTAAAGACCGTAACAAAATGGCGCCCAAACAGAGACTCGAAATGAATAAAGTGGGTATAAAAGAAAAAGTTAGTTTTATGATTTTTTTTAAAAATATTTATTTTTGTAAAGAAAAATCTAAATCGGATTCAAATGAATGTCGAAAGGTTATTCAAAGAGGAGCTGGAGTATGAATTAAAAATTCGTGGAATTACCGGAATAAATACAGTGGACGAAATGAGGAAAAAATTACGAACTATTTTGAAATTAGAGACTACGGGGAAATATGTCCCTCCTGTCGTAGAACTTCCTTCAGCATCTGAATTATTAGTTTGTGAGGAAAAACTTACAATAATCGGGAAAAAAATATTTTCGATATCACCCACTAGTTCCGCTGACGAAATTGATAAGATCGACACCGGATTGCTACATCTAATTAATAGACTGAACCAAATAACGACCACAGATGCTACCGAAATAGGAAAGAAATCAGAGGCTGTTCCAAAATGTCTAGGTCTCTTTGAAGAATTTGTAAAGAAATTAGAAAACCAGAATAAGAATGTTAAAGAGCAGAATCCCGAAGATTCACAACAACGGAATATTGCAAAAGGGATAAATGATGAATCAGCCGAAAATATTCAAAGACTTACAAAAGCTGTTCATGAGGATGTAGGCATAATGATGATAGATTATGCGAAGAAATAAGGAGAAGAACCCAAGGACCTACAGAATCGATTGGTTCATACGTGGCAGTTATGAAAAATTATTTTAACAGGTTATCAACTGTTCCTTCTGAAGACGAAATGTTGAGGATAATCAAAAAGAATATTGATCCCTACTATTTGTAGGGATTGTTCTACCGAATCATAATCTTTTTTTTAAATAAAATTTATTTATTTTTTTTTTTTTATGTTTTTCGTTATTTTCCAAATCCAACAAATTAAATAGCGTGGCGCCTGTTAGATAGTTCTTAATATTTAATTGACTCTTGATCATATATATTTTTTTTTTTTTTTACGAACCCTGCCGTCTCCACTGAGCATCTGGCAAGTTTGTTGTGGAAACAATTTTTCCAAATTAAAGACCGTTACATCCTTTCAACCAACTTAGATCCTAAAACAGCGTCATTAAACATACAAATGCACCTCTCTCTGATTGAAAACTTGAGTAATAAATGGCGCATTAAGATAAATGGATCCAAATGTAAACACATAACCTTCACCCTTTATCGTAAATTCTGTCCACCAGTTTATTTTAACACCATCCAGTTTCCTTTCTCAGATACAGTCCTGTACCTTGGCTTTCTCTTAGACCGACGACTAACGTGGAACCCTCATACTAGACCAAAAGAACTAAACCAACGATACGGCCAACTATACCGACTACTAAACAGAAAATCTAAACTTTCCTTTGAAAAAAAGTTACTGATCTACAAGACAATACTGAAACCTATTTGGACTTATGGACTAGAACTGTAGGGAACAGTAAAATTTTCTAACATCAAACGCATCCAATCCTTCCAGTCAAAAGTCTTTCGAACAATAGTCGATGCTCCTTTCTATGTAACCAACAAAACCACACATCATGACCTCAACATCCCATTTGTCCTAGACCTTATCCCAGAAAAATTCTCCGAATTTCACCAGAACCTTACGTATCATCCAAATCCTCTTGCACAATCCCTATCAAGCACCATCCATCTCTATAATCCTCCAAGAAGGTTGAAACGGCAGTGGCCTCGCGACCTTTTATAAATTGTATATATTGGAGTTTCGGCAATGGCCAGATTCTTCACTCAAGACATGAGTGTAAGTGGCTAAAGTGCTCTCGATCAATCTCCGCTGGCTTTAGCACCAGTGATGCGGTTGAGAGACTAGCCCAGGGTTCTCCTGGAGTTCCCTCGCCTGGTTGTAAATAGTGTATATAGGTATGCATGTGTTTTTTGTTTAGTTTTAATTTTATTATTTTTTGATTATTTTATTTTATTTATTGTGTGTACTTTTTGATTATTATTTATCGTTATTTTGCTTCTATTTATTTTATATGTTTTGTACATATTGTGTGAATGTTATCCTACCTCACTATAAGTAATGTCCAAGTGACATATTGTTGTAATACTCAATAAATAAATAAAATAATAAAAAAAAGTTTTAATTTGTTTACGATGGTCGAGTTTATACCATTTCGTGTAGCATACGGAGGCCTAAATCTCTAATAATTTTCATGAGGGTAGGTGAAACCGTTCTAAAGTTATCACAAGTTTTGTGGTTGTTAACGAAATTTCGATGGGACCAGCCTAGGCAAAAATTCCGTGCAGAAAATTTTAATTTTCCAATTGTCATAAAAATTTGCATTTAAGGGTTTTCTTATGTGCGAAAAACGAATATCAACTTTGTTTCTCCCTGAAAAAATATTTACTCCTTCATTACTACGTCGGTTGGTTCAAATTGTGCCCATACTTTAGCTATCTGCCAAATATAATATTTATTGTATTAAAACCGGTCTGGTATCTAGAGTAAACAAATTTTTAAGAAGAAACGAAGTTGGTATTCGTTTTTCGCTCCTCAAAAAACCCATAAAAACTAATTTTTATTTTCTTCTTATTATTATTCAATATTGACATCTACCTTTCGGTTTAGAGATTTTTGTACAAGGATTTCCATCCGTCTCTGTCGAGGGGTGCTCTCTTGGCTTCCGGCCATCCAATTCCTCTGTCTTTAAGAACATCCTTGAAATTATCTTCGCAAGTGATTCTTGGCCTTCCTCTAGGTCGTTTTCCCGCTGGTTTAGCTTCCATAATTTTCTTTGCTGAACGGCGGTCGTCCATCCTCATTACATCGAAGCTGCCCTTTGTCTATTATGTGGTAGAGGGGTTCAATTTTTAGTGTAATCCGTATCGTTGTGTTACATATCCGGTCTCTCTTGGTCTTTCCCTCTATTTTCCTAAGATACCTTATTTCCATGCTTTGGAGGCGGCTGCGATCACGTTGCTTCCATTGTTTCCAGGGCCCAGGATTAGCTTCCATAAGTGAGGATAGGGACCAACGTCGAGCTATAGAAAGCAAGTTTTGTTTCTTTTGCCACTTCTGTCTTACTTAAAAACTTCCTGTTGATGGCAGAGAACATCCTTCCTGAAGTGGCAACCATAAAATTTGTGATAACTTAGAACGGTTCCACTAATTCATAAAAAAATGAATAAAGGTTTAGAGCAATATATCCTACACGAAATGGTACAAAATCGACTCCCGTAAACAAATTATAATCAAAGATAAAATTTTAATAATGAATTAATTCTAAAAGTTATTGATGCGGAATAGTAGAGTAGTAACTTACCTCTCCAACGGTTGTACTAACGTTGAATTTGATGAAAATCCTGAGAGGTTAAGCTTGCTTAAATTACCGGCCAGAATAAAAACCTTCAAGAACATCAAGTATTAAATTTTGCAAATTTTTATTTCTATTTAAATTCGTATTTAAGAGTTTCAAAGGACACTAAAAAACGAATCTAACTTGCTTTTTTATAACAAAAATTTACTTGGGCCTACTTTACTGGAAGCACCTTTTGGTTTTTGTAATTAATGATACTGGTTAGGCAACTTTCCAATTTAATAAAGAAGTCAAATAACTCTGAGTTCAACATGGGCAACATCCGACATTATTTTGGCAGAGGACTGTGTTTTTATTGAATGTGGTTGGTTATATGATCTATATAAAGTAAAACTCACCCTTCTTTGCTGGCATAGATATCTTACTTAGCTGTGAGGGCGCCCTCCAGTGTGATCTGGTCTGGTCCTCTCTACTCAAGTGGTTGGCCTGAAATGTACTGAGAGAGGCTCAAATGAGAATTGAGAACGGTTTCAACTCGTACCAGTAGAGTATAAAATTCCTCACATGTTAACGCATGATTCTGGAGAACGGCAAGAAGGTGCCTTTTATTGAATATGGTTGGTTATATGATCTATGTAAAGTAAAACTCACCCTTCTGTGCTGGCATAGATATCTTACTTAGCTGTGAGGGCGCCCTCCAGTGTGATCTGGTCTGGTCCTCTCTACTCAAGTGGTTAGCCTGAAACGTACTGAGAGAGGTTCAAATGAGAATTGAGAACGGTTTCAACTCGTACCAGTAGAGTATAAAATTCCTCATATGTTAACGCATGATCCTGGAGAACGGCAAGAAGGTGCCTTTTAGCTAATTTAATAGCTGCTTCCCAAATACCACTGAAATGAGGAGGTGATGGAGGAGTAAAGGTCCACTTTATACCCGCCCGAATGAAATGGTTAAAAATGGGTTCGCTCTGGCCCTTAACAAATTGATAAAGCTCCTCCGACTTCTTGGATGCTCCAACGAAATCTTTTCCACAGTCACTATAAATATGTGAAGGCAAACCACGTCTGTCAATAAATCTGTCTAATGTGGCAATACATGAAGGAGTGGATAGCTCAGTCTCAAGTCTAGATAGATGGCCTTGGTCAAATACGAACAGCTAACCAACATTTCGACTTTGGAGTATTGCGCTTACTTGAAATATTCATGACAAAGAGCCCGCCATAGTCTATTCCAACTCGCTGAAATGGTCGACCCTCGGTCACCCTGAAAGACGGTAAGTCACTCATTTTCGGAGCCTGTGGCTTGGCATTATTTTTGTGGCATGTAACGCATTTATAAATCCGGCTTCTAAGGAGTCTCTTCAGAGAAGGGATCCAAAATTGACAATGAATGAGTGAGTGGACCAACAGGGGCCCACCCACGATGCAAGGAATACGTGTGGTAATAGCACAAAAGGGCTGATAAATGTGAATCTTTAGGTATCAGCAAGGGTTGCTTATTTTTCTGATCAATTGTCGAATACTTCAATCTACCCTCCACTCTGACAACCCTGTCCTTATCTAAAAATGGAGTGAGCCTGTTTAAGGAACCCCTATATGGTTTGCCACTGTTAATATAATCAATTAAGTAAATGAAGAATTTTCTGTGAATAATTTTGATATAAATCATTAATAAATCCTTAAGCTCATCAGCAACTACAACTTGCCGAATTCCCTTCGTGGTTTCGATTTCTTGAGATTTACAGTTGGCAAACCTTACAACGCTTCTAATTTTCTTGTACAAACTTTCCACCGCCAGTATGTGTCCTTGATTACTCCCTTATCTCTTAAGGCTTCTGAGGTATCCGTCTTCCTTACTCAGTCAAAGGATTTTGTAAGGTCAAAAAAGCATACTGAAAGTTCCTTATCTTTTTCTAACACTTTTTCAAAGCCCTGTCTCATGGTAAAAATAAGGTCTGGGGTGCTGCGATGTTCATTTGGGGCATATTGCAACGTTTTGTGCTCAAGGTATTCTTTCCAAAGAGTTTTCTTTTCTCCAATAACTTTTTCACTTCATCGGACCACCATGTTGTTCTCTTATATTGGGCTCCAATTCGTTTTTGTTTTTTTCCACAAAATACATTTACCGCGTCCAATATTATTTCTTGAACTAAAACCAACATATTTCTAAGTCGTCCGAGTCCCATGGGTTATCTATTTCTCTGGTCATTCTTTCAATTTCTTGCTGGTAGCAGGTAGCAATTTCATCCTCTTCTTTTAATCTGTGCGTTTTCATCACTTTTTTTTTGTTGATCTTTCTACCTAATCCATCCAAAGTAGGCAGTGGTCACTTCCTATTTCCAATCCTCTTTTAACTCATACATCGATCAAATTATTTA